TGGGCCAAGTTTCCAGGGATAGAGGCAGAATCAGTCACTTTTTGTGTCCTCTCAGTCCCAGTCAGGGAATAAGACATTAGGACAGATTTCAAAGGCCAGTACTAACTACGAGTTCCAATGAGGTTCTGAGGCTCAGTTTTGAACCCCTATTGGTGTACTTAATTGACTTAAGGAATAAACCTGATAAAGCAGGGCTAATATGTGAAAGGTTAAGATAGTTGCCTTCCCATCAAGGATTGGGGTCATCATCCCAGTGATTCATAGAATATTAGAGAATTTCCATCACAAGAAGCTATACTAATTTTAAGATAGAATTTGATATGATCTATATATTTCTCAAGTCTAAATTATTATGGACTGTATTGCATATCCATACGTACACATATTAAATGATATTGATTTGATTTTCTTTCTGAACGAAAAGATTCCATAGGAACATACCCTTGTTATTTTACTACTGTTAATGAAAAATTTTTTCACCTTTAGTCTTTGAATTTAATGTCTATTTACATATAATGCTAAGATTCTTTTAAAAATGATAAAAATTCCAAGTGTATGTAAAATAGATTATTACTGATTTTTCTACTTGAGATAAAAGGCAAAACAAATTACATAAAAGATGTAATAACTTAAAGATAGCATTTGATATAGAGCTTTTCACCCTCACTAAAATCATATTAGAAGGTCTCTATGTGCAGCTAGTTGGATGTATATCCTCTCTTGTGTTTGCATGGCTTTATGATGTGAGAAATCAATTCTTGTATGGTTGCTACTTGACTTTCTCTCCAAAAAACTGTTTCTTGTATTAGGTTTTGATACCATTTGACGAGGAAGCTTGTGAACCTCTCAACCTGATAATGCAAGTTGTATTAAATGGGACATAATTCCCAGTGGCTGGTAGATGGACAATTTGGTATTCTGCAGCATGAAAGATTGAAGTCCAACCACTCCATCATTACTTCAGAAGAAATTCTCTTCAAGTGAAAAAATGGAAAAGGAGGTATTTTGTTCTTGTATGAAATGGAAATGGCTTTCAATACTGTCTTCCTTATCTACGCCTTGATTTTTTTCTTAAGGAAACTTAGACCATTTACTGAACCAGGCATCTTTTAATTTGGTGACCAACCCCTGTATTCTTAACCTGTTTTTGAAAAAAATTGAAGCCTAAGACTCAGTATGTCAGAGGTAGATTCTATCTGTTGTGTATGTGGTCGTTAGGTTAGTTGTACACATTTTGCTGCTTATTAATGTTTCTCTTTTCATCTGTTTGCTTTTGCTTGCATCTGAGAAAGAGACAAGCTAAAGCAGAGAGGACAGACAGTTAATCACTACAACTGCCAACATGCTTTTACACTTTGGTCTTATCAATGAGATAGGGCTGAAAACCAAATCAAAACAAGACACAATATCCTTCTCTCTGTGGAGTATCAATGAATTAATCTCACTGGATGAGAAGCGTTGGTTGGATCAATAAGACATTTTCCCACATTTCCCTGCTGGCCAGAAAGACTCCAATTTCTACTTTTGCTATTAATTGATTCAAATTATATGAGATGGTAATGTTATAAGGAAATCATCCCATGGGGCTCCCAACATTCCTTGTTAACTCTAACCTATTCTTGGCGCATTTTATTCTGTAGTACATATTTGGGATTAGGTTCATTGTGTTTTGTTTTTTCTTTTTTGTCTCTGTTAAAAATAGTACCAATCACTTCAGTTATACACAGTGTTTGTTATTGAGTCTGTAGCATGTTAGAAAATTCTTTTAATTTTTTTAGTAGAAACTATATTCAAGACACTCCATGTTTTTTTCCTGATATCTTTTTAGATTCCTGAATAGGCACTGTCTATCCCACTGTTTTGCTTATATCCCTAATAGACTAAGAAATCTCTAAAGCCAAGCATTTAGTTGAAACAAACTTTATTTTTTACTCACAAACTTTAGCTTATTATTCACATTCTTCCTAAGATATGTGGTAGCTCTGACCATTAGGATGAGGCTCTAAGTACTCATTTTTGGAAAGAGGAGGCTGAAAACTGTCATAATAAAGCCACGTCCAGTCTTGTGTTCTCTCTTTTCCTTGTGCTGTTCATGGACATTTTCACTTGTCCATGGGATTGTAAGAACCCCGAGGGCTGTGCTTATTTTTGCATTAATCCATGCCCAGCCCTCCTTTGGTAGCAGGACATGCACTGTGAATATGTTCTTTAGGTAAATTGAAATAGCCATGTGTGTGTGTGTGTGTGTGTGTGTGTGTGTGTGTGTGTGTAGTTTTTCTGTCTTCAATGCTTAGAGGTTATCTGATAAAATCACACCTTGCTGGCCACTTTGAGACATAAAGTTTGAAATGTGAGCTGGAAAATTGGGTACTTTAATGCTCTATTAGTGAATTTTAAAGGAAATTCATCCCACCATTAGTTTATTAAGTATATACAATATAAAAAATAGACTCTACAGCAGAAGGCGTGATAGTTTCATTTATCTCTTATGTGTTATATGTCACCTTGGCAGGGTTGATTCCCCACTCATTTTGCCTAAATTTGGGTTTCTATACTTTCTTAGGTCTAGGATTAATGACTGACTTATAAGGTTGATGATGGCGAATGACCTTTGAACACCCCGCTCCGTCCTATGTGGATGTGATGTCTACATGGCTCTGTGATGGCATGGCTGTCATTTTACATTTATTACTTATGTTCCCTTGTCATTTTGATTTTATGATGACAAATCCACAATCTAGAGTTGCCATGCCTCATTGATATCAGTTGGGTGCCTCTGGGCTTTCTCCTTGAGCACACTTTCAGATTTCTTCATACTGTAAATCATCTCTGACCCCAAAATAAATCATTATGAATACTATGTTCATCTCTGGTAGAGACAAAATCACTTAAAGTAAATGCTCCCCCACCTTATTCATTTTGTTAAATGTTATTTTTTAAAAAGTTTGTAGAATGTACTTTTGGGATATCACATAATTTAAAAAATTCATTTTCTTAAATCTAGTAAAATGTGTTTTTTTTATTGTATAGTTTTTTTAAAATTGATAAACACATTAAGTAGGACATTTAGTTTTTATTTTAACCAAAAATGGTAGATTTTGGCTAGAAGTTGCTTCTTCTACTTAATGTATATCAAATATCTTTTTCTAAAATTAGCTTTATTTAGATATAATTGACAAGTAAAATTGCATATATTTAAGGTGTACACCTAGATGTTGAGATATATGTATTTATTGTGAAATGATCACCACAATCAAGCTAATTTACATATTTATTACCTTACATCTTTACCAATTTCTTCTTCTTTTTTTGTTGTGATGAGCACACTTAAGTTTTACCTTCTATACAAATTTCAAGTACACAATACACTATTATTAACTATAATCATGACACTGCACACTAGATATCCAGATACTAGAGGACTGTGCATGAAATTCATGCATGGGTAGGGAGGGTCCCTAGGCCTGGCCGGTGATCAAGACCAATCTGTGGGGTGACCGGCAGGGCAATCGGGGGGTGTGGTGGCGCTGGCACCTGCCTTGGTTGGCCGGGGGTCTGCGGGCTGGGGGCAGCTCCTGCATTGAGTGTCTGCCCCCTGGTGGTCAGTGCATGTCATAGTGAGTGTTCATTCTGCCTTTGGTTGATTTTCATATTAGGCTTTTATTATATAGGATTATTCATCCTGCATAACTGAAACTTTGTACTCTTTAACCACCTCCCCATTTTCTCCACCACCATACCCAGCCCCTGGCAGCCACTTTGGTATTCTTTTCTTCTATATACTTCACTTTTTAGATTTCATCTATAAAAGTGGGATGCAGCATTTGTCCTTCTGTCTGCTTTATTTCACTTAGTATAATATACAGCAGATTGTTGCAAGTTGAAGATTTTTCTTTATTATGACTGAATAATTCTTGTGTTATATATGTGTATCACATTTTCTGTATTCATTTATCTATTGACCAAAACATAAATTGCTTTCATATCTTGGCTATTGTAGATTATATTGCAGTGAATGTGGGAGTGCAGATATCTCTTTCAGATACTGATTTCATTTCTTTGGGATATATGCCCATAAGTGAGATTGCTGGATCATAAAGTAGTTCTATCTTTAATTTTTTTTCGGAAGAACTGCCATACTGTGTTCCATAGTGGCTGTGTTAGTTTCCATTTCCAACAGAGCACATGGTTTCCATTTTCACCACATTGGTGTCAATACTTTTTTTTTTTATAATAGCAATTCTAACATGTATGAAATGATCATCTCATTGTGGTTTTGCTTTGCATTTCCCTGGTGATTAATGTTGAGCATTTTTTCAAGTATCTGTTGGTCAATTATGTGTTGTCTTTTGCAAAATATCTATTTGTGTCCTTTATCTATTTTTTAATGGGACTACTTGTTTTTGGTTTTTGTTACTGATTTATGTTCCTTATATATTTTGGATATTAACCCCTTATCAGATATAAAATTTACAAATATTCCTCTCCTATTCCATAGGTTGCTTCATTTTATTGGTTACTTCCTTTGCTGTGAAGAAGCTTTTTAATTTAATGTAGTCCCATCTGTCTACTTGTGCTTAGTCGTCTATGCTCTTGGTGTCAAACCTAAAAAAATCCTTGCCAAGACTGATGTCAAGAAGTTTTTTTCTGAGACATGGAAGTGGCTATGGAGCATTGAAGGTCATGCTGGCCTCCCTGGTTTGAGTCTTTCTGGTTTAATTCTGAGCATCACAGACCACATTGCTCCACAGGGAAGCCTTAGGGTCACTACAGGCATTAAAATCCCCATACCTGCACTGCCAGGAGCTCATTGTTCCTGACTCTTCTGTGACAAAGGATAACACTTTCAGCATTTCAGGGTCCTTCTGACTGAGTGTGGTGGAAACAAACAAAAGAACTGTGCTGATACTTTTGAGGTACATTCCTATGATGCAGACATAACTCCTTAATATCAGGTCACTTGAGAAAACAACGAAGAGCAGGACCAGGAACAGGAGGACATGGCTGATTCTCAGGGACCATTAACCTTCAGAGATGTGGCTGTAGATTTTTCTCAGGAGGAGTGGGAATGCCTGGATCCATCTCAGCGAAAATTGTATGTAGATGTGATGTTGGATAACTATGAAAACCTGGTATCAGTGGGTCTTGCTGTCTCTGAGCCAGATCTGGCCACCTTTTTTGAACAAATGATGGAAAATTGGGATGCGAAGGGAAAAATGACAGTATTAACCCACCCAGCTATGCCATCTGAAGACAACCGGGCCTTATTGCAAAAGCCAGGAATAGAAGATTTGCGCTCTAAAATAATACTGAGTGCATATAATGGAAACAGAAGTTATCAATGCAATGAACATTTGAAAAACTTAAACCAAGATTCAAATCCTTATAAACATCAGAGAACTCAGATTCCAGTGAACCATTATGAAGGTGGAAAAGTATTTGACCAAATGTCAAATCACAGTAAAAATCAAGTTATTGAAATTGTGGAGGAGACAAACAAACAAAGTAAATGTGTCAGATCATTTAAGCGATCTTCAAATCATATTGAACAAGAGAATATGTACACTGCAGAGAAAGGTTACAAGCATAATCTACTTGGGAGAGTCTTCAGTCATATGTTCAATCGAAATAAACATAAGGAAAGATGTACTGGAGGAAAACCTTACAAATGTAAAGAATGTGATAAGTCATTTAATTGGCTTTCAAATCTTAGGAAACATCAGTTAATTCATACTGGGGAGAAGTTTTACAAATGTAGAGAATGTGGCAAAGCCTTTAGCCAGTCCTCAAATCTTACTAAACATCATAGAATTCATACTGGAGAGAAGCCTTATAAATGTACAGAATGTGGCAAAGCCTTTTGCCAGTCCTCAGCCCTTACTAAACATCATAGAATTCATACTGGAGAGAAGCCTTACAAATGTACAGAATGTGGCAAAGCCTTCAGCATTTCCTCAAACCTTACTGAACATCAGAGAATTCATACTGGAGAGAAGCCTTATAAATGTACAGAATGTGGGAAAGCCTTTAGCCATCCCTCAAACTTGACTAAACATTATAGAATTCATACCGGAGAGAAGCCTTATAAATGTACAGAATGTGGCAAAGCCTTTTGCCATTCCTCAGGCCTTACTAAACATCATAGAATTCATACTGGAGAGAAGCCTTATAAATGTAGAGGATGTGGTAAAACCTTTAGCCAGTCCTCAGCCCTTACTAAACATCAGAGGATTTATACTAGAGAGGAGCCTTATGAATGTACAAAATGTCACAAAGCCTTTAACCAGTGTTAAAACTTTATTGGAATTCTGAAGATTCATACTGGAGATAAGTCTTAGAGATGTAAAGTTTTGTATCAGCACTCCAAACTTAACATCAAGGAATCCATACTAGAGAGAAACCTTAGGAATGTAAAAAATAGAGCAAATTCTCCAAACATCATTCATGTTTTACCGTACATGAGAAAATTCATACTAGAGAGATACTTGACAGATGTAAGAAGTGTGGTAAAGCCTTTCACTGGCTCTGTAATTGTAGTAGTCATCAGATAATTCATTTTTAAGAGAAACCTTATAAATGTGGAAAATATGGCAAAGCCTTTTTCGCCACTCAGAAATTACTGAATATCAGAAAATTCACACCAGAGGCAAATGTTACAAATGTAGAGAATGTGGAAAAGCCCGTCATCACTCCTTAAAGCTTACTTGTCATCCGATTATTTATAGTGGAGAGAAACCTTACAGATGTAAAAATTTTGGAAAAGTATTTTCTTGGCATTCTTTCCTTCCTAAGCACCAATTAACTCAATCGTGAGAGAAGCCTTACAATTTTGAAGAATATGGTAAAACTTTTATCATTGGTGTATTATGAAACATGAGACAAATCATAGTGGAGAGAAGCCTTATATGTGTAGAGCATGTGGCAAAGTACTTAAATGGCATTCATGTCTTACTGTTCATGAGAGAATAATTCATACTGGGGAGAATGTAGCAAAGCCTTTTATGAGCACTCAGAACTTAACATCACAGAATCCACACTGTAGTTAAGCCTTATGAGTGTGGACAATGTCACAAAGCCTTTGAACACCATTCGTCGTACTGTACATGAAAGAAGCATTCATTCTGGAGATGAACCTTATAAATGTAGTGTATGTGCCAAAGCCTTTAATTAGCAATGGTGTCTTAGCCAACATGAGAGGATTTATATTGGAGAGAAATGGTACAAATGTAGAGAATGTTGCAGAGACTTTAAGCTGTGCTCAAAACTTACTCAATATTGGAGAATTCATGCTGGAAAGAAATAGTTAAAATGTGAAGAATTTGGGCAAACTTTTAACCATTACTCAAGCCTCACTCAACATTTGAGAATTTATACTGAAGAGTAGCTTTAAGTAAAAAATGTGTCTAAGTCTTTAATCCTTATTTTACCTTACTCAGCATCTGATAGTTCATATTGGAGAGAAGCCTAACAAATATAAAAAATGTTGCAAAGCTCTACCAAGTAGCAAACCTTACTCAAAATCAGAATACATTTTAAAGAGAAAAAAATACAAATGTAAAGAATGTGGAAAACCCTTCTTTCAGCATTCACAGCTTATTTTACATGTGAGAATTCATAGTAGAGATAAACCTTAAAAAGAAAGACTGTAGAAAACTGTATAGCTGGACCTACACTCTCATTGTCTATAAGGGAATGCACATGGGGGCAGAATTACATGTTCATAGTAAAGAATGAAAGACTTTTGTCCAAAATATATACTTCACAAAAGCTCAATTAACTTATGTCTGAAAGTAACATTGAGGATGTAAAAAACTTAGTGAAGTATGTAATTGAAAATGAATTTTTAAATAGAGAATTCACAGTTGAACATTAATAATAGTTTTCAGGTATTACTTTAAATCAGAATACTTAATATAGAGAATTATCCAAAGTTTAAAAAACTAGATAATGACTTGTTAGTTAGTGTGTTTTACAATATCAAGGGGATGTATGTTTAGATATGTATAAATACTTAGAATGTATCCTACTTTATATTGATAGTATTTGAGATATTTTGAGAAGGAAATATTAATATGATTCCACTCTCATATTATGTTACTGTATTTTTCTTCCTACTGTATGTGAAATCATGAGGTTGATTCTTGCTGCCTTAAAGATCTGTGAGTCTTGTCTCTAAGGTGGGTTTCACTCATATCTGCATTTCCATTAAAGATTGAAGACATTGTAATTCACAATGTATGAAGAAATCTAAATGGAGATATTGTTTGTGGTTGACTTAGAGCTTTGTTGCATGTCACCATGAAGAGCATCTTTTATTGCATTAATGGAAATCATAAGAAAACTATGAATATTAACTATTTTTCCAAATACTCTATGGAAAATATAATATCAGCTCATTAAAATCCTGATGTATTTAATAGTAGTCATAGATAGAAGTGATGAGCATAAGTTGATGTGGTTGGAACAAAAAAGTGATCAGGAATATGTGAAAAAGTATAGACAACTCATCCCAAAGTGCATAAAATAATTGTACATCCATTGTTGCTAAACAATTAGCCTCTATTTTGAAAAACAAAGCCCACCTATGAGATCACTAAATCACAAGTAGAGATACACCTCTTAAGTAATTTTAATGTGTAATTTTACAAATGGTCACAAAATTGGTTTGTCATGCTTTATTTAGATTGTGTGAACTTATAACTTTAATAAAGCATAATGCATTTTTTTTAAAAGAAGCTTTTTCCTTATTGCTTTCTCCTAATAGTTTTAGTTGCATGGTCTTGTATTTCTTTCACTTTAATGAAATGCTTGTTGAAAAACATAGGCAAAAATTCTTGAATAGTAATCAACAAAATAATATTAAAAACAATTACTTGCTAATTCCACTAAATATATTTTGAGTATGTTAAGATACTCTGTATTTTAAATTGATATCTAGAAATATTAACTAGCAAAAAAACCCGACACAGTAAATGGTATCAATGTGAACACCATGAACAGTTTATATTATCCTTACTACATTTATACATTTCTTCCTCTACTGAGGCAACATCCTTTGATTCTAAAAAATTGCTTTAGACTATTACTATTTCAGCATTTTTAATACCAAACAAAGAAATTAATACATTCTTAAAATTGTAAGATTTCAAAATGTGTTTTTATTTCACAAGAAAATAAGTTCTTTGCAAAGCAAACTCATGTAACTAAGTAGACTTTTACACACAACTGCAATGAGTGATTATTTTTATTTAGAATAAGAATTTCTAGAAACATCTTTATTATTTCAACATTTCTGAGTTAAGAAACTTATTTTCATAGCAACAGAAATGATTTGTTGAATTACCATTCTAGTAAATAAATAAACATTCTCCAGTTTTACTCATTCTTTATATTTTTTAGAAGTTTTATGGAGTAACTACCTGACAATATACTTTTAATTGCAAAAGCTACTAGCGTCTATGGGCATTTTTGACATTGTGTATCTAAGCAATATCTTTGAAAGACATTGTATCAGAATGTTTGGATCTGGCAGGTGTAGCTCAGTGGATTGAGTCTTGTACCATGGTCAAGGCACATGCCCAGGTTGAAGGCTTGATCCCGGGTAGGGGTTGTGCAGGAAGCAGCTGCTCAGTGTTTCTCATCAATGTTTCTATTTCTCCCCCTTCCTTCTTTTCTCTCTTTAAAAAGAAATTGATAAAAACATATTAAAAAAATATTTGACTACTAGTACTTAAGTCTTCATATAGTAAGCCATTGTCTATGAAATGCGATTTCATGGAAAATTAAAGTTTTCATTTTTTAATCAAAATATCTCTTTCAGTGGCTTGTCATATGTCTGAAAATTTCACTAGTATTCAATTGTAATGTGTTTTTGTTGCCTTAATTAAGATTCCAAAATTATACTATAAATGAGAAAATACATGGTATGAATGAAACTATTAAAATCTCATTATGTTCATCATGGATGATGAATCAATTATAATCATAGCTGAAACACATAGGCTGTGTCAGATATATACTGAATATGTAAGTAGCATATATGATATAAACATAATTTATAAGATGAGCTAAGTTGATCAGCAAATTAGTTATCTATGATACCTGTTAGATAAGAAATGAGTCTATATGCTGAATACGGATGGCCCATAGGGAGCTAATATTCAAGATATAAAAATATACATGATGCACATGAAACTTTCAGTATTAATAAGATCTTAAACTGGCCACCCATTGGTAACAACCATTATGATCCTTTCCTGACTCCAACTGTATTTTGACCGAGAAACTCATGTAAAATCCACAGCTCCTCTTCGAGTTACAGCTGTGACCTGCACTCTCCAATAGAGCAACCATGTCTTGGTTTTATACCTTTCTATCCATTAATCCCCCTTGAGCAAAGTCAGCTCTGGATTTCATAACCACACCATCACAGAGAAGGCAGATGTGACACAAAGAGCAGAGCACCTCTACATACGAACATTGGGTGACCTGGGATTTGGGTAGTGTGTTCCTGCTACCCTGCTTGCTTTCTATACCATGTTAACTTGGTCCAAGATCTCTCTTTTCCTTTATTGAGTACTAGAGGCCCAATGTATGAAGATTCATGCAAGAATGGGCCTTCCTTCCCCTGGCGCCAGCACTGCCTTCACTCCAGCCTGGAGCCACCTTCTGCCTTCATGTGCTGCCCAGAAGTCTGGAGCGGTGGAGTAGGGCAGAATGCCTGCCTTGTCACCATGGTGATGACGCAAGCATCCCAGCTCTGCCGCCACCATCTTTGTCGCATCAATTTGCATATTCCCTCCTTATTGGCTGTGGCCGCTGCAATCTTTGTCGCGAATTTATAGTCAACTTGCATATTCCTTCTTTATTAGGTAGGATACCAAACTAAATATTACATCATGCAAACATCATAAATATTTCTCAAATTTTACCCTTTGTACTACATACCTGTGTGTCTTCGTATTTGTTTTGAATAGGATTTTTATATTATTCAAAACAAATCTGAAACATTTGCCAAAATATGTACATACCACATGTATTTTAACCGACTAGGCTTTGGGGAGGACAGTACAGTTCAGACAGGTCTGGGAGACCTTCGTTACCTGTGTTTCATCAGATGAAATGACTAAGGTGGGCTCTTCTCACCTTCACTGAAGCTGTTCTAAAGTCCAATTCTCTGCCATGCTTAGAGAAGGCAGACATCAGTACAACTTAGGTTTTGATGTTTTATAAAATTACTAGAGGCCCAGCATGCAATTAAATCATGCGCAGTTAGGATCCCTAGCCCTAGCTCCAATCAGGGCCGTGTCCACCGCCCAGCATCGCTGCTTCACCTCCG